TGGGTAGGCGGCGACCTTTTCCTAGGAGGCCACCTTTTGATTGGGGGAGATAAGGGACAATTCTCAAGTAACACTACTTACACACATTCAAACACCACTGAGAGAGTACTCTGCTCCGAGTAACCCTAACAACATCATTTCAATCGTTCATCTGCAATCTAGCAGCGCCGACCACCAGCAGGGTCTTTTGCCTCCTGTGAGCTAGTCCTTTAAAACAACCTCAAAAACCACCATACAGGGCTACTCGCCGCTGTGAGCTTGTCCTTATCTCGTGCGTATAATATACCTACTAAGGCCACTTAGTCTCTCTGCCCTTGCAGGAGGGACACATATGCACCTGTACTTTTTTAGAAAATACATTTTTTATTTCTATTCTATGTGAAATTTAATCACTCGCACTTGAATTCAACAATATCTCCTACAAATATGAGTCATCTAACACTAATCACATATTTTTTAGTCTTTAAAGTGTTTTTATATTTATTTAATTTTACACTTTTTACATATCTTTGTTATATATATATATATATATATATATATATATATATATATATATATATATATATATATATATATATATATATATATATATATATATATATATATATATATATATATATATATATATATATATATATATATATATATATATATATATATATATAATGTTCTACTAATTGTCTTATGTCCCCTGTCTTATGTCCCCTGACACACCCCTCGTTCTATTTTTAAGTGAAACCTTTTACTAAATCAATATAATCATTCTTTAATGATCACATTCTTTATAAGTATAGACAAAGTCATCGTAACCACAACTAAAGGATATTTAGAGTGATATTTTTCTACTTTGATCTTACATGGTATTGACAATTTTGTTTTATCTTAAAACGTGTCAACCATCATAAGGATAAAGTAGCTATTTTGTTTGGTAAAGAGTTGTGAAGGCCAGTTGAAGATATTATGGTTGGTGGAGATCCTTTATTCGAGGACCTTCGATGGAGGTGATTTATTTATCCATTAGAGTTAGGGTTAGGGTTTTTATTTGGCAGTAGAGGTTGCCTTATACGCTTTGTGGCTTATAGGACTCAATCTTAGGAGTTACATGATCATATATTGAGATGCGGTGAGGTATATGGTATGAACACGAATTTCGGCAGAGCTTTGAATGGTATTAGTGTTGCGATTCCAGATTTTGGCCTTAGCAGTTTTACTAGCAAGGACATCGTTCCTCCTAAAGCACAATATGTTTTGGCAAGTGTCATTTTTAGTATAATTTTTAAGGACGTGGATGTAAAGTTTGATATAACCTCAAGACAAAAAATAGTTTTTGGTTGCTTGCAAGTTGCGCGTGCTCAGGACTTTCTCCTTGTTATTCTTATTGATGGACTAGGCCAACATATGTCATCAGTAGAGTATTGTACTATCTTAAGATATAGTCTTATGATTCCTTTATTTCCTATTGATGAGGTTTACCATGTTTTTCGTTAGGCGTGTTTGGATATATTTGGAGAGCACACAATTTATTGTAGGGAGCTTTCGGGTTTCAAATACCGACATGACCTTGTTAGAGATGTCTTGTTTGATATATTTCGTCGTTCCAGAGTGTAACACCCCAATTCTACCCCAAGCAATTATGCAAAATAAATCAGAGTTATAAAATTTCAATCATACAAATGAATTGGGACGTCACAAATTCTTCTAACAAATTCATTGCATTCATCGTGGATATATAACACTTTTTAAAACATCGAATGAACCATCATCATAACATCTTTAATAAAATAAATCAACATCTACGCAGCGGAATTCTTAATAACATCTCTAACAACAAAACAACAACTCGAAACATCACATATTTAATAATAATTAATTAAAGTTCAACAGCTGAAAATCAACAATCTAAAATCAGCAAACATTCATCCCCCCGAGTGTTACATATCAGAGCAATGACACCGACTCGAACTATTGAAGGTATACAGCCTTCACTCTCGATTACCTGCACGTTACCAACATAAGGGCAACATTCAAACAGAAGGGGTGAGATATCTAACAATATAATAAAGCGTATGATAATTAATATATTAAATTAGATCAATAACATCACCACTTCCCATCTCATAATCAACAATAATCTCAATAATAATACACATTCATCAACATCAAAATACACTTCTTTATACAATCATATAATGCGACTCAATACTATACAAATGCATGTGGTACCATTGGAGCAGAACTTCCATCTCAAAAATTTGCCAATTAATAGAGGCATCAACAAGGCATAGCCTTCATCTTAAAATTTGCCAATCCAGGCCATCTCAATGAGCATAAGCTCCATCTCAAAAAAAATGCAATGTATGCGACTCAACCATGAATGTAATAACAACACCCAAGTTAACAACATCTCAAATCACCAACATCTCATAAACATCTCAATTAACAACATCTCAAAAACATCTCAGATAATCAACATCTCAAAAACATCTCAAGGTCCCGTCATCAACATCTCAGATCATCAAAATAATTTATTAATCATCATTTATTTATTATAAGTCATCAAACACAACTTCATTAATAACATCTCACTAATAACTTAGTTGTATATTAATACTACAATAATCCATATTGTTATCCTGCAATTTTACATCGTTACTGTCACTAATCCTACTATCATGATTCGAATAGCAGTCACTAAACATCTCACATTCATCATTTTGTTCACAAATCAGCACAACGACCAACACGGGAAATAATTCTAAATCCTAAATTGGCTACTAAGATTACACTTCTTATTCATTGTTTTAATCTCCTAGAATAAATTTCATCGCGTTAACTATCCAACGCTTTGAACGGCATCTCAAACAGCATCCTAAAACTCAAGTTACAGCACTTTAAAACTGAATCTGCCAAAAATTAGACATTATGGATCGACGCATAATCCTTTGGATCGACGCGTACTGCTTCATCTGCACAACATGAGTCGACGCATCCTCCTTATGGATCGACTCATCCTGGTCTCATACACAACATGTATCAACACATACATCTCACCGATCAACTCATCCTGAGTCTTGCAACTCTCATGTATTGACGCAAGCCTCTTTCGGGTCGACTCATCCTGAGTCTTACAGCCTCCTTGTATCGACACATAGCATTTGAGGTCGACACATCCTGGTTCCTCCTGCATAGTTCCACGATTTCTTCTACATTTTCACTATGGGAATCATGTTCTTAACCCTACAAACCTTATAATCATGATAAATCATCACCTAACATTATCCTATAACACTACATCGATTAAACAACATCATGACATCATTATTCATCTAAAATTCATCAAATCCTCATCATGCATCATCATATACATCCAATTCAAGAACAAAATAGCAATCACCTCTAACCCCGCATATCAAACATCATGAACCCAATTATAAAGTCAGAACTCCACCCTTACCTTGGATTGAAGGTCGCTCTACAATTTCCGGGTTGAATCTTTGTTCTTGCTGTTTTCCACTTTTTCCAGCAGCTTCACGTTCTCTTCTAAATCCTTATTCTTTCTACTGCTTCCTTCTTTCTATTTCCTTCTAACAAATAATAAAATAACCTTATTATTCTATTATTCCTTATTGGGCTTAAAACCTACACCCCCTTACTACTTCTACTCTCTCAAAATAAGTCCACATCAAATCATATTACACTTCTAATATTATTTCACCACATAATAATATTATACCTCTAATATCATTTCTCCACTTAATAAAATAATTAAATCCAATTAATTATAAGACATCTTCACAAATATTCCAAAAATAATTTAATTAAATAATTAATTAAATTACGGGCGTTACAGAGTATCTATGAAGAAATAGGTGTCTATGATAAATTTTGAGACTGACTCATATGAGGGAACATCAACACTTATGTTAGTAATATTCTGGTGTATAGGTGGCCAGGAGGGAAATATGCTTGTGTGGACTTGACTGAAGTTTCTTCACTGGTGATTTTACTGTGGGATATGAAACTCTCAAAGTTGTTTCAAGTAAAATGGTCAAACATGAGAAAGCGTATTCTAAAAATCAACATGATTTCATATCATTTGTCTTTGACACTTTTTATTTCCTAGCATCAGAAGCATTTGATCTTTTATAGAGAATTCAAATACTTATGAATAATAATGATGTATCTCGTAACTCTATGAATGTAATTTTTAAAAGAATTGATTTTATAAATAGTGGGACAGCTTATTGTATGTTTGTCTTTTATTTTTATATGAACTTTATTATATTAAAATAAAATAAAAAGACAATAATTATTATAAACTCGCCCACAGGATTATAATATATCAAGTTCGAATTTGAGAGAAAGTGGTCATCTTATCTATTAGCATTTTTAATCCATTGAACTTATACTTATTGATTATTAAATATTAATTTATTTATTATAAAAAAAATATGTCCATAAAACAGTCAATTTTTAAGTGAAAATAATATTTAACCAATATCATGACTTCTCCGTACGAGCTCAGGACTACTAAAACCACATTGTCTTAAGAACCAAAATACAAAAGTTAAAAATAAAATAAAAAAAGATCTTTTAAAAATAAAAGGGATTAAATTGTAAGGAATAAAATTTAAATTTCATACATAGAACAGTTTAAAAAGACCAATAATATTACTAGTATTAATAATATTTTTTCATCTAGATTTTTTTAATAAAAAAAGTAAAGCCAAATACCAAATTACATTTGCTATAAAAATATTTATCCATTTATTTCTAGAAAATAACATAAAGATATAGCTTTATCTCCACTAATTGACATTTCTAGAAAAAATTAATGATCAAATTCAAATAATCTTTTACAATAATAATACCAAAGTAAAATATATTTGACCATATGTATAAAAAATATTGTTACAATAGACTTTTCTAATACATAACCAATTTAATTTTCCTTATTATATATGTATTATCTTTGTCTAAAAAAAAAACATTGCAGTTCAATGGCAGGAAAAGGTGAGTTGAGAGAGAGTTTTTTGCAGAAGAAAAGTGATTCAGAGATAATTGAAAATGAAGAATCAGTTAGGAAAAGGATATGGGAAGAAAGCAAGAAAATTTGGGTGATAGCAGGACCTGCAATACTCACAAGATTTTCAGCATTTGGCATATATATTGCAAGTCAAGCTTTCATTGGGCATATTGGTTCCACAGAACTTGCTGGATATGCACTTGTTATCACTGTTCTAAACAGATTTGCAACTGGAATATTGGTAACTCTATTTTTTTCTCATACTTTTAGTGGTATAGACTTATAGTTTATTCATTTATTTATTTACAAAAATGCAGATAGGGATGGCTAGTGCATTGGAGACACTTTGTGGACAAGCATATGGAGCAAAACAATACCACATGCTTGGAGTATATCTACAAAGATTTTGGATACTATTGTTTTTGACAACAATGTTATTTCTTCCTCTATTCATTTTTGCCGCACCAATTTTTGAGGCATTAGGCCAAGAAAAGAGCGTTGCTGAAATGGCAGGAAAAATTGCACTTTGGTCAATAGGTTTAGCTTTGGCTATGGTTGTATCATTCACTTGCCAAACATTCTTGCAAGCACAAAGCAAGAATGTGATTATTGCTTATTTAGCTGCATTTTCTGTTGTTGTTCACCTTTTGTTGTCTTGGCTTTTGACTTTTACGTTTGGGTTTGGACTTAGTGGTGCAATGATATCATTGTTATTGTCATCATGGTTACCAAATATTGGTCAACTCATTTTTATTATGACTAAATGTCATGATACTTGGAAAGGCTTCTCACTTTTGGCTTTCAAAGATCTTTGGCCTAGTGCCAAGCTTTCTCTCTCTGCTGGAATCATGATGTGGTAACAATTTTACCACTTTTTTTTTATCATTATTAGAATTTAGATTGGACTTATAAGACTAATCTATACTATATGATTTCATGCATTTTTACAGCCTTGAGATATGGTACAATACAATTTTGATTCTCTTAACCGGAAACTTTAAAGATGCTAAGGTTGCCATCAATGCTCTATCCATATGGTAATTCTCTATCTCATTTTTATATTTATCATAATATTTTGTTTCTTAAAATTTCATTTGAAAATTAATCTTTTCATTGATGCTTCAATTGTTATATTTTTACAGCCTAAACATCAATGGATGGGAAATGATGATTGCCCTTGGCTTTTTTGCTGTAGCTGCGTAAGTTGTTTTTCATTAGTAATAATAATATAAAATATAATTGCTTTATGTTTAATTTGTGAGTAAAGAAACCCCTATTCTCTGTTATTAAGTGTGTGTCGCAAAGTGTCTGATATGATATTGTGTTAGATATAATATGGTATCTGACACTTGTATGATATCCGTATAACGTATATCAAAAATTCATACAATTATTTTAAGCAATAAAAAATTTATTTCGATATTTTTTAAATTGGTGTCTAACAGTTATATAACACTCATATAACATGTGTCAGACAATTCAATGAAACGTCCCAAAAATATATTCATTCTTTACTTCGGAACACCTTATACATTCCTTAAAATATGGTTGTTTTTTACTTTGAAACACCATATACATTCCTTAGAAAAATATCAAACATGTTCTAAGAGTTAAAGATGTGTTGAAACAATATTGATCAATGAAAGATTAAAAACATTATATTTGATTAGAACAAGATCTTGAAAAAATGTTGATGAATAAAAGATAATATTGTTAAATATTTTTACATTGAAAAGGATACCGTCTAACATATGTTTATAAGTCGATTTTGTATAGAAATTAGATCTATAATTATAATTTTAAGATGATATTGTTGTCTATACAAAATTCATATAACTATTTGCTATCAGATTTTTGTATGGTTCTTTGTTATCATTGTTATCAGATTTTCGTTATCAAACCACTTATTATTTATATTCTTGCACTAAATTCAATAGAGTTGTACGTGAGAGGTGTGCTACATAGCCCCACGATGCAAATGGTATGAATTAGGTCCAACAAGAACTCTATGATATGTATAAGTATCCTAAAAAATTTACATTAGTAGTGTCGAAGTTTTGCGTTATAGGTAGACAGACGTAAATACACTTGATCGAAGTGCATAAATAAAGATTATACATGTTGTGTTGTGATTTATCATTTCTTTTCTCTTTTCTAATTGTTATTCTAACTTGATGGAACGAATTGAATTTTATATTTAATTTTTTTTTTTTTATTAACTTGTAGGGTTCGAGTGGCGAATGAACTTGGAAGAGGGAGCTCAAGAGCTGCAAAATTTTCAGTCGTCATGACTGTAGTCACATCGTTTGCCATTGGATTCATTTTTTTCTTGGTATTCCTATTCTTGAAGGAAAAACTTGCTTATGTTTTCACTTCAGATCGTGCTGTGGTTGATGCTGTTGGAGATTTATCATTTTTGCTTGCACTTTCAATCTTATTGAATAGTATACAACCTGTACTCTCTGGTAATCTATACTTTCACTTCTTATTCTAAATTAGTCACAACTCACAAATATTTTGGATGCAATAATTATCTAAGTAAAAAATATTGAAAAAACATTAAAACTCTCTTTTTATTTCAAAATTGTTCATTTGTCATATTATTTTGTTTGAAGAAAACTTACAATATATATTAGAATGTTATAATAGGAGTTGCTGTTGGAGCTGGATGGCAAAACATTGTTGCATATGTAAACATTGGTTGTTATTACATAATTGGTATTCCTGTTGGAGTACTCATTGGTATTGTTTTTGATTATAAAATCAAGGTAACTCATCTATTAATTTAACCTGTTTAGATCTTTCTATATTGTTAATCAATCATCGATATTGTTAGATTGAAATTTGGATGTGTAGTATGGAATGAAATATTATGGAATGGATAAGTAAATAAATAAATTCTATGATTTAATTTACAAATAATAGATAGAATTGAAATAATAAATGGAATCCATTCTATCATATTCAATCATATCCTTTAATTTTTATTCTGCCCAATTTTTATATTCCAGTGAAATAAACTAATTTGTACTATTTTGTTCTGTCAAATTATTTTAAAAAAATACACAAATAGAATGAAACCTCTGTTTCATCCACTTCATTCCATCATGGATGATTCTAGTTTGCTTTATTCTAGTCCATCAATCTAGACATAGTCTTAAATTCCATGATAAAAAAATTTCTAATGTCTCTTTTGTTACCTCTTTTTTACAGGGTATTTGGATTGGCATGTTGTTGGGAATTTTTGTTCAAACCGTAATGCTAATTATCATCACTTGCAACACTGATTGGAAAAAGCAGGTCATTTAACTAGTCTATTGTATTTTTTTTTAATGTCTGCATTCTCTATTCCACAATTCGAATTTGACTTTTTCTTTATTTTCTTAATTTTATTGTTTTTTTGTTAGTTCAAGTAATTTTTCTTGTTTAGTTAAAGATTTCTAAGAAAAATGTATCTGAAATTTCACAGGTAGAGGTAGCCCAAAAGAACATCAATAGATGGGCTGGCAACAAAACTCAAGAATCAAATGGCAGTGGAACAAGTCTCTTAGCTAATGAAGAATAGTGTTCTAAGATGTAGGCATTATCTCTATAGAGAATCTTTAGTTTGTATCCAATAATTTGTTTATTCTCTAACCTAATGAATTTGGTTATAGAATTAAAATAATCCATTTAAATTTTGTGACTGAGCTTCTCTTTTACGATTGATGATTATGGTAACAAACCATCAGAGATCTTTTCAACGTGTTTTTCTATGTATGTTAAGTCTTACTGCATATCTCATTATGGTGCGAGTTCAGCTCATTCAAACATGTGATTTGAGATTTGAACTCTTCTTTCTTCCACCATTATCTTCTTGATTTTATTAGAGAAGGAAAGTTCCTCATCTCTTAAAGAAAACCAAAAGCTAGTGAGGGCCCCAACAGGTCATTCAGATTCCTTCTTTTAACGAACTGTTCAAAGTATCGACTAACAGCGTCAAAACCTACTCTACTCATTCAAGAGTGCGGTAAAAGAGGACAATGTTACAGAATTCATGTGGCGTCTAATTCTCTAATTCTCTAGTAATATACATTATATTACACGGCCTCGAAGAAAATCCTGTGAACAACAATTATCTAAAGGAACTTACAACATAGGTTGCGGCGATTTTAGGTGTTGTCTTTACACAATACTCACTGCCTGGATGCGGGTGGCGGTGGTGCATGGCTTTGCCCATAAAATCCAACACCAGGTGACCTGTAAAATCCTCCAGTTGAAGACTGTTGTTGTTGCTGCTGCTGCGGCGGCACTTGTTGAGCCTGTGACTGAGGTGATTGTGATGGTTGATTATTGGGCCTGGTTAAACCCATTGCCACATGTGGAGGCAAAGGTGGTGGAGGCGGAGGTTGCAGGTTGTTTGATCCATATCCATAAGGCATTCCCCCAACCATCATTCCGGTAGATTGAACATACTGATTTGTTGGAGGATTCATCTGTGAATGAGGAGGTGGAGGGAGTGTGGAAGCAAATGCAGATTGTAATTGATTGGTTTGTGATATGGACTGCATGGTTGGTGGTGTTGATGACACGTTTGCGGAAGAAGGCTGTTGCAACGTGGCGAAAAAAGAAGAGTTCCTGGTATCAGAACTGTTGATATCAGAAACAGGCGTGTGACGCTCAAGTTTGGGTCTTTTCTCTGGATAGAAACCGGGTGGTGGTGAAGGATACCCGGCAGAGTTTAAGCTACCATTCATGGAGGCAGCTTCTTCAGCAACAAGGGAAGAAAGAACAGATGTAAGCATGAGAGCTGAGGATGTAGAGGCGGCAAGCCTAGCAGCAACAGCAGCTGCTGCAGCCTTGGTGTCTTCCTCAATAGTTTGGAGAGGAGCAAACGACATAGTAGGTTGGGTCAAAGAAGGCTGAAGAGGGATGCTGTTTGGTTGAACGGGTGGAATATTCTGTTCCGGCACCCATGTGGCTTCTGGTGTTTGGATAAACCTCTTTCGGATACTGGCTACCCGCTCGATCTGGTTTTGTGCAGCCTGCAAACAGTAAAAAAAATTGAAGTTGTGGGGTTTTAAATAAAAGGAGAGGAATTAATAAGAACTTTGAATATTATTAAAAATCACTTGATATTGACTTGATACAAAAGACTAAACAATAACTCCTCTATATATGGGGATACAAGACTCTGATCCCTAAATAGGGAAATTAAGAAACAAATCAAAATAATATCTAAAAGAAAAACTAATTCTAAAAGATAGTCTAACATACTCAAAGATTATAAAATTATAGTAGGAAGTAAACTAAGAGACTCTTTTTTTGTCTTAAGTCTGGTACCCAAAAGAAGGAGACTCTGGTAATTTGGAGTTCGACCAGGCGATAAGTAAAGTCTAGCTAAAGATTGTTCCTGTGGGGATTTGAGCTCCAGTTCTCTTGAAAGATAAGTCCTTAACTAGAGTTTAATAACCACTTGTGATACTTTAATATGATTTCATATTTTAAGACATTTTCTTATATTCTAACAAAAATCATGCAAGAATTTTTGTTAGCAAATATAAAGAACTTGGGAGCCTCAAAATCTATTATTCTAATGGCAAGGGGGATGTTCAAAATTGTTTATTGGGTGCTAAGAAGCAGCTAATCATGATTTCTACACGGTTTGTTCATAAACCTTGAAAACAGCCGAAAAGTAAATCCAAACTAAAATGCAATTGGTTGGATAGAACTTTCATTTAGCATATCACAAGAATTAGGATAAAATTAGGTAGTTGGTATAAGGTTTTGGAATTAGGTCTAAGATAGAAACGCTTCTCTTTTTGCTAAACTGACATTCCACGTAGAAAAAAAAGTCCTCCTTGTCAGACAAAGTGATATCAAATTGTATATAGGCAAAGTGAGCTGGAGTCCAATTTCTTCTAACTTTTGGACAATACACTCTATTGTACTTGACCACTAGCTAGCCAACTATCCACACTTCATCACTAATGTGCCTTCGAGAAAAATTCCAACACCAACACATCACTGAATATATCAGTGTGGCCCAAGCTAGACAACGCTGTTACTTTACAGATTGAGTTCAAGTCATGAACTGCAACTCGAGCCTTGCCTCTGTTTATTGCAGAAGGCAACTACCACATCAGGGCTGGAGTTATCATGGTCGTCTTGGGAATTTTTTTCCCATGTCCCTCTTTACATTATTAACCTTCTTGACTCTATCATCTCAAAATGCCTCCCATTTTGCAAATTCCATCTTTGTTGGGCCAATGTTCTCTTTGGACTCAATTCGGGAATCACATTGAGATGTATTCCCCGTGGAAGCGGTTCTTGTTCTAGCTCCACAAAGTTCAGGGGTTTTAAATGTTATTTATTGATATTAAATTAAGAGAGACTAAGAGACATTTAGTTTAAACCGTATATTCCGAAAGCACTACGGAGACTTTATTATATATATAGAGATTACAACTAATTACATGATATAATCGATGTGGGACTATTCTACATACAAATATTCTTAACACTATATTTACAAATATCAACACTCTCCCTCAAGCTGGGGCATATAAGTCAAATGCACCAAACTTGCCACATATATAATTAGTTTTGGGGCTTCGCAGGAATTTTGAAAACACATCTGCCAATTGATCATTAGAGTTGACAAAGCTTGTGACGATGTCGCCAGATTCAATCTTCTCTTTGACAAAATGACAGTCTATCTCAATATGTTTGGTCCTCTCATGGAAGACTGAATTTGAAGCAATGTGCAATGCAGCTGGATTATCACATACAAGTGTCATTGGTCTTGCTTCTTCAATTTTAAGTTCTTTAAGCAACTGTTTTAACCAAATGAATTCACATGTTGTCATCGTCATTGCCCTATACTCTGCCTCGGCGCTTGATCTTGCAACTACGTTTTGTTTCTTACTTTTCCAGGATATAAGGTTTCCTCCAGTACACAATACCCAGAGGTGGATCGTCTATCAATTGGTGACTCTGCCAAATCAGCATCAGAGTATCCAACTATCTGAGTATGTCCTTTATCTTCATACAATAAATCTTTTCCTGGAGTACATTTGATGTATCTTAGAATCCGGATAACAGCATCCATGTGTTCCTAACAAGGGGAAATTAAGAACTGGCTTACCATACTGACTCCAAAAGAAATGTTTAGACGAGTGACTGAGAGATAATTCAACTTTCCAACCAATCTTCTATATCTTCCAGAGTCTGATAGAGGCTCCCCCTGATTGGATAGTAGTTTGACACTTGGATCCATAGGAGTATCAACTGATTTAGCGTTCAACAAACTTGTTTCTTCCAAAATATCCAAAGCATATTTCCGCTGAGAAATCACCAAACCATCTTTAGATTGGACTACCTCAATACCCAAGAAATACCGGAGTTTACCAAGATCCTTTGTTTGAAATTGATTTGAAAGATGTTTCAACTGGAGTATTCCCGACTCATCACTACCAGTTATGACAATATCATCTACATACACAATAAGATAAATACACCCTTGGACTAAGTGACGATAAAAGACAGAATGGTCAGCTTCACTACGAACCATACCGAATTGTTGTACCACAGTGCTGAATCTGCCAAACCAAGCTCTCGGAGATTGCTTAAGACCATAAAGAGACATGTGTAGCCTACAAACCATATTCGAAGACTCCCTCTGAGGTGGTTGCTCCATATATACTTCCTCTTCAAGATCACCATGTAAAAATACATTTTTGATGTCAAGTTAATGAAGAGACCAATGTCAAATGGCTGCAATGGCTAGAAGAAGTCTAACAGATGCAATCTTGGCTACAGGGGAGAAGATATATAATCCAACCCAAAAATCTGAGTGTATCCTTTGGCTACCAAGCGAGCTTTAAAACGATCAATCTTACCATTTGGACCAACCTTCACTGTATAAAGCCAACGACAACCTACTAAAGATTTTCCAGTGGGTAGAGGAACCAGTTCCCAGGTACCACTGCTTTGAAGAGCACACATTTCATCAACCATTGCTTGCCTCCACTCAGAGTGAGATAATGCTTCATCTGGAGATTTAGGAATAGAAACAGAAGACAAAGAGGACAAACAAGTATACTGCAAAGAGGAAAGACAATGATAACATAAATCAATATAATGTGGAGAAGGATTTCGTGTTTAACGTATACCTTTGCGAAGGGCAATCGAAAGATCAGACTCGGATTGCAGGATCGAATCCGGTGATGGCGATAGCGTCGGAGGAGAGTCTGCAATGACCTGAGGGACAGGTACGACCTCAGAGACATGTACTACCTCGGGGACAGGTATGACAGACGTTGGTTGACGACGTTGATATGTTTGAAGTGGACGAGAAGTGGGGGGGTCAATCGTATGGGTTTCTTGTGGGACAGGTTCCATAGAATGATAGGGGATAATAGGAAATGGGACTTCCGGAAGAGGTGTGGGAGTACTTTTCTGAACGAGTTCCGGAGTGACTTGGGTGGACGCAAAATATGGCACAGACTCGAAGAATGTAACATCGATCGATATCAGGTATCGTTGCAGAGTGTGTGAGTAGCAACGATGACCCTTTTAGAATCAATGATAACTAAGAAATGCACACTTTAGTGATCGAGCTGATAGTTTATCAAGACCAAGGGAGAGATTATGCACAAAACATGTAGACCCAAAGACTCGAGGAGGAATTGGGTGAAGAGGAGAGTTTGGAAACAGGATTGGATGAGAGACTTTATTATTAAGGACAGATGAGAGCATGCGATTTATGAGATAACACGCCGTGAGCACAGCATCCCCCTAAAATCTGAGAGGGACATTACCATGGAGAAGTTGAGCCCGAGTGGTTTCTACGAGATGCCGATTTTTGCGTTCGGCTATCCCGTTTTGTTGAGGTGTATGAGGGCAAGATGTTTGGTGTAGAATACCATTGGATGACATAAAAGTTTGAAATTATTGAGATAAATATTCACGTGCATTGTCATTTTTAAGGTACGAATGGACAAACCAAATTGGGTTCTTATTTCTCAATAAAATTATTCAAAAATAGAAAACAATTCAGATATGTTTTTCATTAAAACGTGCAACGTGAAAAATCATCAATAAATGTTACAAAATACATAGACTCAAAAGTAGACACGGTACGCGGTGGACCCCAAACATCGGAGTGAACTAAAGCAAAAGGGGACACAGCCTGTTTATTGACTCGATCGAGAAAGTGACTACGAGTATGTTTCCCTAATTGACAAAACACATTGTAAAATAGATAACTTAGATAAACTGGACACCAACTTATGTAGCTTGGGAAGACTTGGATGACATAATTGTGCATGTATAATGAGTGGAGAATATGTGGTGGAGCATGTGGTAGATGACGTAGAGAAGTAGTAGAGGCCTTGAGACTCACATCCGACGCCAATCGTCTGTCCAAAACTTTGATCCTATAGAATAACATCATTGTTAGTAAAAGTGATAGAACAATTAAGGGAACAAGTTAAACGACTGGCTGACAGTAGATTAAATGGGCAATTAGGTACACATAAGACAGAAGTAACAAAGAGAGATGGTAGAATTTAAATAGTATTGATCCCTTGGGATCGGGTTTGAGAACCATTTGCGGCAGTTATACTCTATAAGAAACCAGAGATAGAAAGGGAAGAGAAAAGATTTTTATTACCGATAACATGATCAGACGCACCAGAGTCGAGAACCCAAGGACCAAGAGGAGATGATTGAGAGACGCAAACAGATGAATTACCAGTGTGTGCAATCGAAGTCGTGGAACCAGAGGTCTTGTTAGTCTGACACCACCTGAGAAAACCCTCGTAGCTTGGCGTAGGGTTCTGAAGAGAAGGTGAAGTCTGCATAGTGTCTGGATTATCAATTTGAGCTGCATTTACCTCTCGTGGAGGTTTGCCATGCAACTTCCAGCAACGATCGATAGTATGCCCAAGCTGGTTACACTGGTCACACTTAGGACGAGGTTTGGAGTTGGATGACCCTCCTCAAAGGCGATTCTGATTATTGCCAAGAGATGCAAGAGCAG